AAGGGCATTGAGGATGAAACGTGGCTGGGTCTTCCAACATGACAATGATCCCAAACATACCGCTTCGTGGCTTCGTAAGAAGCATTTCAAGGTCTTGGAGTGGCTTAGCCAGTCTCCAGATCTCAACCCCATAGAAAACCTTTGGAGGGAGTTGAAAGTCTGTGTTGCCCAGCGACAGCCCCACAACATCACTGCTCTAAAGGAGATCTGCATGGAGAAATGGTCCAACATATCAGCAACAGTGTGTGCCAACCTTGTGAAGACTTACAGGAAACGTTTGACCTCTGTCATTGCCAACAAAGGATATATAACAAAGTATTGAGATTAACTTTTCATATTGACCAAATACTTATTTTCCACCATAATTTGCAAATAAATTCTTTCCAAATCAGCCAATGTGATTGTCTGGATTTGTTTTCTCATTTTGTCTCTCATAGTTGAGGTCTACCTATGATGCCAATTACAGGCCTCTCTCATCTTTTTAAGTGGGAGAACTTGTACAATTGGTGGCTGACTAAATACTTTTTTGCCCCACTGTATATGTAGGCGGCTGCCGTCCCTCGAGCGAGACGGAGCTTCAAAGGGACATGTCCATCCTGCCAGCTGCGCATGTGCACCCCGCAAGCAGCATTATGTTTACCTTACCGCAAGGCCTCCATCCTATATTTTAACAATTCTGAGTGGTGTTGAGTCAGGAAGTAGTTAAAATGCGTCTCAACTGCCTATTTTCAATGTCTGCGTGAAGCCTTTTTTTTCACTTTTGAATTTTTTTTAACTTTTGGATTTCTGACCCTTGATTTTTGATTATGCATTGACATTTTAATATTGCTGTTGATGGTTAGACTGGGGTCAATGAATAAGATGTAATGTGGAAGGATGTCCAAAGGGTATGTTACTATCAGTTATGTGGGGAGGGGGTGAATGGGTCAAGAGGTTCAAACTCTCCTTAGATGAGAGGAGCTGGATTAAAGTCCTGTATTTAAGAGGGATAGAATGACAGGAATGACTCTGAGGAAGGGGGCATATCCCTTGAAAAGCGTCAGTAGTTACCTGTCTACACCCTGTGGGTTCCTTCTTCGGGATCACCAACAAGGTTTCTGTGTTTTGTGTTAGGCTTTTAAGCATTGGCATTTGAGAGTATGCAATCTTTTGTTTTTAAGCTTAATAGATTATAATGGCAATGCACTAGGCCTTTGCGCCCTTTGTCTGTTTATGTTTTCAAGATTCCCTGATCTCAGGAGGGCAGCAGTGGTGAATGACTTTTTATATATTTGGCTGGCTTCTCATGTATCTTTGAGCGCTATGGTGTAATTACCGTATTTTTCGCTCCATAAGACGCACTTTTTTCCCCCCAAAAAAGGGGGGGAAATGTCAGTGCGTCTTATGGAGCGAATATGGAGCGGCCGGTCCGGTATTTCCGCTGCAACCACCATGTCAGAATACTGGGCCAGCCGCTCAGCTCTTCTCTCCTGCAGGACCTTACCTGTTCCTCTGTCCACTGCTGTGCAGTCTTCCTGCGCCGGCTTCTGTGACAGCCGGGTGCCCACTGCGCATGCGTGAGAAGCGCTGCGCTTTGTGAATGGTCCGGCGACTTCTGGGACACCTGACAGGTCCCAGAAGGCAGCAGGCCATTCAAAAGCACAGCGCTTCTCGCGCATGTGCAGTGGGCACCCGGCTGTCACAGAAGCCGGCGCGGGAAGAAGCCAGCGTGCCCACACTAAAGAAAGGACAACTTCAGGTACCCGCTCCCCCCCCCTCCCTCCCCAAAGGTCCGCAGTCTCTTGGTCATCCCCTGTACTGTCCACAGTCTCTGGTCATCCCCTGTACTGTCTGCAGTCTCTGGTCATCCCCTATACTGTCTGCAGTCTCTGGTCATCTGTACTATGTCCGCAGTCTCCGGTCATTCCCTGTACTATGTCTGCAGACTCTGGTCATCTCCTGTACTGTGTCCGCAGTCTCTGGTCATCTCCTGTACTGTGTCCGCAGTCTCTGGTCATTCCCTGTACTGTATCCACAGACTCTGGTCATCTCCTGTACTATGTCCGCAGTCTCTGGTCATCTCCTGTACTGTGTCCGCAGTCTCTGGTCATCTCCTGTACTGTGTCCGCAGTCTCTGGTCATCCCCTGTACTGTGTCCGCAGTCATCTGTAGTATGTCCGCAGTCTCTGGTCATCCCCTGTACTGTGTTCGCAGTCTCTGGTGATCTCCTGTACTGTGTCCGCAGTCTCTGGTCATCTCCTGTCCTGTTTCCGCAGTCTCTGGTCAAATCCTGTACTATGTCCGCAGTCTCTGGTCATCTCCTGTACTGTGTCTGCAGTCTCTGGTCATCTCCTGTACTGTGTCTGCAGTCTCTGGTCATCCCCTGTACTGTGTCCGCAGTCGCTGGTCATCTACTGTACTGTGTCCGCAGTCTCTGGTCATCTCCTGTACTATGTCTGCAGTCTCTGGTCATTCCCTGTACTGTGTCCGCAGTCTCTGGTCATCTCCTGTACTGTGTCTGCAGTCTCTGGTCATCTCCTGTACTGTGTCCGCAGTCTCTGGTCATCTCCTGTACTGTGTTCCGCAGTCTGTCCGTCTCTGGTCATCTCCTGTACTGTGTCCGCAGTCTCTGGTCATCTTGTACTGTGTCCGCAGTCTCTGGTCATTCCCTGTACTGTGTCCGCAGTCTCTGGTCATTCCCTGTACTATGTCCGCAGTCTCTGGTCATCTCCTGTACTGTGTCCACAGTCTCTGGTCATCTCCTGTACTGTGTCCGCAGTCTCTGGTCATTCCCTGTACTGTGTCCGCAGTCTCTGGTCATTCCCTGTACTATGTCCGCAGTCTCTGGTCATCTCCTGTACTGTGTCCGCAGTCTCTGGTCATCTGTACTGTGTCTGCAGTCTCTGGTCATCTGTACTGTGTCTGCAGTCCATTGGTTCAGAATATTTTTTTTTTCACCTCTAAAACCTAGGTGCGTCTTATGGTTAGGTGCGTTTTATGGAGCGCAAAATATGGTATGTTGGCTTGGTTCAATAGTTTGAGGCATGAATCAAAAACAAGTGTACAGATGAGTCCTAGATTTTGGTGCTTTCACACCATACTTCACATAAAAACTCACTGCAATGCATCATAAATGCTTGTATGTTGATGTGTTAAACTGCTGCTCAGTGTAAACTAAGCTACTTATTTGTCATATGCTGCTTTAATACGTACTATAAAACAGCACCTGGCGAGTGTCAGCCTGGCTATCTTGCTCAATAGTTTTCTAAAATGAGTGCTCTCATATCAAATTCAAGCAAAATCCAAGCTGTTTAACAGAGCCCCAATATGAACTAATTAAAGCTTATATGGACTCTGACTATTAGTATACCGTTTGTATTAGATCTTTTATTTTTTGGACTTTTTACTATTTGCATGAGGCCAGCCTCATCAGATCTAGTAAGCTCTGTGCACTGGACCGACTTTCCAAGATCACAAGATATTAATAACAGAGGAACTAGCACATATACCCTCTGAATAAACCCTCATTTGAATGGATGTACCTATGCATACCCCCATGTGAAGGGCTCTATTTGCTTGTACAGGATGCACGGTAATCCTTCCCAACCATGATAGGTGTTAAATATGAGCCTTTTTTTGGAACTGATTGCGACTGCACTTGATCTGCCAACTAAATACTCACATGTTTGGGCCTGCTGGACCCACTTTGTAACTACCCCCCTGAATTCGGATCTCTCATGGGTCGGGATACCTGATTGAGCTCAGCCCTACCTCTGGTTATGCCCTTGGTTCTCTCATAATCTGTGTGGTTATGACCTCTTTTCCGGTAATTTATATTTGCCTGCTTAGCTTTGGTGAGTGTTTAAATTCTTGACACTCTCATTTATGATCTCCAATAACACTGTTGACACAAACTTCGCAGCCGGACCTTTCGCTTCCCTTGCTTCCCTTTTTTTTTTTTTTTTTTTTTTTTTTTTTGCCTCTTATCCCCCCTTCTCCCTCTCCCCTTACTCTTCCCCCCCCCCTTTTTTTTTTTTTTCTCTCCCCTCTTTCTCTTCTCTTCTCTCTATCTACTATGACTCCCATTCCTTTCCTTTTCTTATCCTTTTCTTTCTTTCTATTCCCCTTTTTTCTTTTCTTTCTCGACAACCTCTTAGTCTTCGATCAGGCTTAGTCTTCATTTTATCCAGGATTACTTGGTATATGGTTAGCTTATCTCCTCTAGGATAGTCAATGGTACTCACGACATCTTCTCTTATACTGCGATGCTCACTTAGCCTCATGATAGCGTACTGCTTTTGGTTTAGGCTCTGAAGGTTCATCTCCTCCATGCTTAGGCCAGTACGCCAATATTCACTTGGTGGAAGTAAGCTGTTATTACCTTCTATATTGTACATTTTTGAACCTTGAGTACTACAGGCATATCTCTGCCGTAATTTGCCATGCTTATGTTATCCACAGTGTCGCACTCTACCATGTTGTTTCTTCCTGTATTTTGGTTTAAGCTGTGTCTATGACCTGATTGATGCTGCGTGTGCATTTCTTTATATTTTCCTGTAACATGTTGTCACTTCTAAATAAACTTTTATGGAATAAAAAAAAATATGAGCCTTTATACCAGTACTCTCAAGATAGCAACAGGTTGATAACAATGCTTTGAAATGACCCTGTCAGATTACAAAAGACATCTACTCCATTCCATAGCTGTAGCTTCTGTAGGACTGGCATTCAACACTTTCTGGAGTTTCAGATGCTAGTGTCCCTCACTATGTTTTTCCTCTACATCCCTGCTGAGTTCTTTAGGAATCCAGGGGTGAAAGGAAAGAATCATGGCACCTGGTGGGAAGCACAGGCATCCCACATTCCAGAAAGTGTCCAATTCCAAAGATTCTTAAACGTTGCATCTGTAAAGAATTCTCCATCAGAGTAATGATGGGGAATTGAAAATTGCTGCAGGTATATGTATCTCTAGGTGCGTGTGCTTCACACCGGACAGCAAATTTTTTTCATATAGTTAGATTTGCTTTAAACCAGGGGCGGACTGACCATTTGGAAACTTGGGCACTGCCCGAGGGCCCGGGGTTAGTAGGGGGCCCCATGAGATGCCCCTGGTACCTTTCTGAGTTTGGGCAAGGACACAGGGGCCTTATGATCCCCTATTGCCCGGGTGCCCCATGAATTGTCAGTCCTCCCCTGCTTTAAACCCATCTCAAGACAAAGGTCTCCCCTCTAGCATTCATCCCTCCTACTATTCTTCCATCCATTCCCTAGATTTTTCTTTACTCACCTAAATCCCTCACCTGCACAGCTTCCATGACTGATGATGTATTGCTGCAGTCCATGCAATCACTGACTGATTGCCTCTTAATGATGTCATCACGCTGTGCAGTCTTTTGGAACCTGAGAGTACTCTGCTTCTGTTAAGCCATTAGGAAGTGTCTAGACATGTGCACTCTGGAAATTTTCATTTAGTTTTGAATGCATTTGCTCATTGAAGAATTTAATTTCATCATATTATGTTATACTAATTTGTTTTCAGAATTTGTTTAGTATCTTTGACATTAGTTTCGTATATATACTTTGCTCTGGGTGGATTTGAAAAAATTTTCACGTTTTCTGGCAGATTGCTATATATTCAATATATTATCGAATTGGACCCATTTGAATCGTAAGGATTTTATATTTTTGGATACCAGTCCAGAAATGGCACGAGTTAATTGGACAATATTGACTGGCGTCATGTGCATCCGAATTAACGAATGGAACAAAATTTGTATCCATTTGTTATCTGAATTATCAAACAAATTAAAGAATGTATTCGTTAACTCATGGGTCCGACCTACTATTGCATTATGTGATGTCGTCTGAATGAAATGAATGAAACAAATGGATGTCTTAATTTCATTATAAATTGTTTTCAGATTCGTTGACATTTGTTACTTTGTCAATTCGGAGATTTGTATACATCTGAATCTCCGAAAATGACATTTACGTCCAAAAAAACAAATCGTAACGAAACAAAATGCACATGTGTAGAAATGTCTAAGTCACCAAGACAGTGATGTTGGTGAAACCTGGTTTCTGGGTGAAACTGGAAGAAGGACCCTAATCTGCTGCAGTAGAGAATATAGAAAACTCAGGATCTGGTGCACTACATGACCACAGCTTTAGGTTTGGAAAAAAGGGTTTAGCTTAATTTTTATTTTTAATAACATAATAATTAGTTGTGGAAGGGGGTTATTTTCCAGATTTCAGGTGCTCCTAGGCTGCTTTTAGAAAAATTGCTCTTAACGTTTCTTTTTTCTATCTGTAATCAATATTGCATTTCATTATTTTATTTTTTTTTTTATGTGCGCTGTACTGTATTTTAAGATTTCACATATAAGGTGTCTGTGCCTATGTTGTATTTGCATTAGCCTTTATTCACTAATCACCAGTCACCACTATACATGTGAGATACATGTTCAGGATATATGACATTTAATTGGTAGATGCTTCAGTGAAAATGTTTTGCTTGTTAGAGTTTCCACAGAAAATCGAATTGCCCTTTCGTTAATTGTTTTTAATACATGGAAAGTTAAGTAATTTCTTAAAAGAAATGGCACAATTTTATTTTACTTTATTTTGCCTCTGATTTTCCAGGAATAATGTGCACAGGTGTTCAGGCCATCAACAAGCAAGAAGTGATGCTGAGCAGATAAATTGATGATGAGACCTGTACTTTGAGTTGGGAGGAGGAGCAGCTAATGAGCCGGCAGAATTTTGGCAAGGTGCTTAGCTAAGGTGATTTTGTAAAATATAAAATGTGCGAGCAGGCTCATAACGGTCACTCTGACATCTGTCATCTCTCCTGTGCACACAGTCCCTCTTCCTACTTCTCCAGGTGAGTACAGCAGCAATTTTGTAATGGCTAGATGACCTCTAGGTAGAAATTGGCAGCTTTGCTGGATTAAATAGGTTTAGAATTCAAAAGTCAGTTTTCAGGAGAGGAATTCTCTATTTTTTTGTTAATTAAATACTTGATCTATCTAGGAGGTAAAATAGCATTTTCTAGCTGTCGACAACAGTATTTGGTGGTATAGACAGTGCCCCCATTAGGACCTGTGAGTTCATGGGACCCATGTGTAAATACTTCTCCGATTTCAACCACCCATGATTTCTACCATCACACTATTTAAAATCTGAAATTTCTGTTGCAGAAGTAGAATTTTAAGGCTTATATAAACTCATGATTACTTTTTTTTAGCTATTCGATCTTTCACAAAGATTCCTTGCTTTATGTTCTTTTGGTGCATCTACCTTTTCTCTCTCTATATAAATATGTTTTATTTTGCTGTACTGCCACCCCAACTTTACACATAGATGGCCCTGTGAGTATAGAAATATAACTGACTTGACTGTTACTGCTATTCATGCAAATTTCATCGTAAAAGTAGTCTCAAGATAGAAACAGTCCAAACAGTCCAAGTAGTCCATGTCCACATAAAACCTGAATCTCTTTGAGTAACCAGAACCTACAGTATAAAAACCTGACTCAACCCACTAGTAAAGTGCCTTGGAAGCATTTATGTCTTCATGGTACAGTTGTAGACAAGCTGCCCATTTTCCATACATGTGGCCTAAACATGCACCTGAGCCCCCACTTACAGACATTCAGATTCAGGGCCACCCATTAGTTTCAGAGCCCAAACTCACAACAAGTTCACATGCAAGGATGCTGACCTGAGGCCACTATAACTCATCCTTCTGGTCACAGTTCCTGTTAACCCATTAACATCTAGAACACTCCATCCACAAGCCTGTACTTTGGCGTTGTCCAGATTGGGGCTAGAGGAGGCCAACTGAGCACCAAGAGCCATTGGTAAACTGAGGCCTAGACCACCTGGTGTGTGTTCCATGAGGGAGGTTCTCTCTCATTGCCAGAACAGTGACTTCTTTTCCCTAACCACAACCCACTCCAGAGTCAACCAGACTTACACCAGTAAATAGCACATTAACTCATCTTCGCCAGATGCTAAACCCACAACATCCAATAAATACTGTTCCCTTGGCTGAGACAAGGATGAGGCAAGGTCGTTTGATGCTTTTAACTTTACTGAACAGATTGCAACAGCCCAGATCTTAATATAATCTTCCCCCTACACAACATACACAGCTTGCAATTACTGCTAACAATGCAGAAAACTCCAAAGTTCAGGTATTCCCAAAGTGATTTCACCACTACTAACAGGAAGGGTGCTGTTATGCCTACTCACTATTTCCATCCATGCTGCTCTGTCCAGGCCTTAGGCCTCCACATGTCCCATTCCTCCCACATGCTCCAGGAGGAGTTCTCTTCTTCAAAGACTATCCTCTACCACCGGGTCTCCAAACATTCTAAACAAAGGGCCTTTTTATTGTCCATGGAGACCTTAAAGGGGCCAGGCTGTGGCAAGTCAGAAGAAAATGCGATAGTGTCAGTGGGAGAAATAAATCCCCATTTTTGGTTTTAGGGGAGGAATAGTGCCACATCATTGGTAGTGGAGGAGGAATAGTGCTGCATGCCCCATTGCTGGTGTCACTGGGAAGAATAGTGCTCCATCCTTGTAATCACTAGGATGAATAGTGCCCCAACATTGGTGTCATTGGCAGGAATAGTGCCCCATTGTTGGTGTCACTGGGAGAAATAATGCCCATTCTTTGGTACTAGGAGAGGAACAGTGTTCCATTGCTGGTGTCAGTGGGAGAAATAGTAGCCCATCATTGGTGTCACTGGGAGGAGGAATACTGCTCCATCATTGGTGTCAGTGAGAGGAAAAATGCCCCATCTTTGGTATCAGGGGAGGAATTGTGCCTTATCATATGTAAATAACATATTTACATATTGAAGCTTACCAGTCCTTAGATGTGATGGCTAGATTGCTGAGTATGTTTTCTGCAAGTACAGAAAAATTCTGGTTGATCCTGTCAAAAATTCAGTGTCCTCGTCCAGTTCCTGTGCACAGAACTGAAATCTTAAACAATGTTATCAGCCTTCCAGGTATCTTCTGTGCACTTCAGAATTTCTACTACTTACTACTCTGATTAATATCCTGTGTAATTGTGTTGTCCCCTGCATTGGCAATCTTAAGCTTGTTATCCTCTGAAAATTAAATAAAAATTATTACACAGAAATAAAGAAAGAGTAGATTGAAAAAGAAAACAAATGCAGCCATCTACTCTAAGGACTGGTAAACTGTAATATTTTATATTCTGGGGGGATTTACTATGTTTAAAGTGGTAGTAAAGTGGTTCTGAAAAATGTTCCCTCCTCCCACCTATCCTGCATATCCTGTGTAAAAAGGATCAGAGTACTTATCTATTTTTATTCCAGTCCTGTCCAGTCACATGATCCTGCCAGTTACGTGATCCTAAAGCTCTAGCTCCCCTGTGTAACTCTAGGTTCACACCTAAGCGTTTTCTGCAGCGTTTTGCAGAAACGCAGTACAGTCCATTTAACATGATTTCCTATGGAACATGTTCACATCTGTGCGTTTCACCCAGTGTGTTTTTCTGGAAAGGGTCAGGGACTTTTTTTTCACGCGTCTACGTTTTGGGTTTTATAGACTTCAATGGAAACACTGCTGAAAAGCATGTATTGTGTTTTTGCTGCATTTTTGCTGGGTTTTGTGTTTTAAATCTGACTAGCAACAAGAAAAAAAAATTAAAAAAAAACCACATCAAAAACACAGGTGCAAAATGCAATGCATAAATGGCTCAAATGCAACATGCAAAGGTGTGAACCTAGCCTAAGGAAGCGTTTGACAACGGCTGTGAATTCCAGGAGCCAGGATGAGACCCATAGGCTCCCATGGAGCAGCTGTTGTGAGTGCTCCCTTCTCTTCCCGCAGCAGCTGCTCACTGACAAAGGGGTATCGGCGTTGCAGTATCACATGACCGAATCAAACTGGAGTAAAAATAGATAAGTACACAAATTTTTTTTTATAGAAGACATGCAGCAAAGGTTGGAGGAGTGGGGAGGGAACATTTTTACGAATATTTTGTATTAGCGCTATCTTCTACTTTAAATGTGATTTATTAGTGTTTTGCTTTATCTTTACGGCTCTATAGTACACTGTTGTGTTGTTAGTAAATCAGTTGAGATTGTCACTTTTTTTTTTCTCCAAAAATAACACATTGCCATATTTGTTTGAGCTACCTGATACATTCGTTTCTAATGTCATTCCCCCCGGTATTCTGTGCCCATAGGTTTACCATCCACCTCCTCATCATGGCCCTGTGGATTCAGTGTCTCCCTCTTGCAATCCTTCTCAGCCTATTCACTCCCAACACTCAAGCCTTAGCCAACCAACACCTCTGTGGGTCTCACCTTGTGGAAGCCTTGTATATGGTGTGTGGAGAGAGAGGCTTCTTCTACTATCCCAAGAGTAGAAGGGATCTGGAGCAGCCTTCAGGTAAGCCTTAAAATGTATCTTCAGCCAAACCTTCAGTCTTGCATAGTAGGAGGTGACATACTTAAATATGTCACACACACTTTGCTTGCAGTCCTGACATTGCCAATTAAAGTTGTCCAGGAATATGAAAAATATAATGAATATAGAAAATGTTGTTACAGCCTAGATTTGGAAAAACATGTCCACTTTTGCTATAACATGGGAAATACTAATTCTTATCTCTTCTGGTACACATCTGAATGCTGCTCTAACACAGAGAAGTTGCCCCATGAAGACTCTTTAAAAACTGACACTTCCTAGAGTGTCAATCTCCTAGTTTCTTGCTGCTCTAGGTAGTCCCTTCTTGTTCTCATTGTTTCCTGTAGTGATGTAGGGGTCTGTGGGAGGAGGAATCACTGACCTTAATATGGGACCAGGAGATGGACACTCTTAGAACTGTCAGTTTTTGGAAGAGACCTAAGGGCACGATTTCTCACCTAGGGATAATTAAAAAGATATCTTTTGCTGATGGCTCTGGAGATACTTCACCATTTAGACATTGTTCAGGGCAGGACCTTCAGTCAGTGATAGACACTGTGCATTTTATAGCAATCTGTTCAGGCCTTCAATTAGTGTCTGGCAGAGGAGAGTCTTCCACGCCAACTTCTTTGGTGATTCTGCAATGCCATGTGACCAAATACCAAGGGCCACAAAAGAAGCTGATTCTGGATGATGTAATAAGGTATGCCACAATTAATCATGACTTTATTAACACCCAACATTCACCATGTCCCCTAATCACTGTAGCACTATATCACGCTTTGTATTGTGCACTTTCTTTAGGCCACAGAAATCCGTGTATGGCGTGAAAGGGCCACCTTGCTGCATTAGCCCCTAGCCTAAAGGTTCACAGTCCTTCGCATTCACTCTTTTATTGCAACTTCAAGTTTGGTGATAGACATGTTATGAAGTAAACAACCTTTATATTTGTTTTTCTCTGCCTACAGTAAATGGCCCCCAGGGCAGCGAGCTGGACGGAATGCAGGTCCAATCACAGGAGTACCAGATGAGGAAGAGAGGCATTGTGGAACAATGCTGTCACAGCACATGCTCTTTGTATGAACTGGAAAATTACTGCAACTAAGAAGCAACTCTGTGACGGCCAACAGGGCACTTACATACATGACTTCTGTACAAATCTATGAAACCAATATCAAGGCCACTTGACCTTTCTAAGTAAATCATTCTCTGTTTTCATGACTATATATGTTTACTTCATGCAAAATAACACCCGCATGGGATAGACACATACAGTATATATACAGTATAGTTACCCCCAGTATGCCCAGAATGGTATTTTGTCTGCGGTTTTTATCTTGTACTGTTGTTTGCTGAACTGTACAACAAATTAAACTCTATAGTTTTTTAAGCAACAGCAGATGCAGGCTTTTTTTAACAAGGCAAAGGTCAATGCTCTGGAGCAGTAACTCGTGCCAACCAATCAGCAGTCATCTTTTTTTTTAACTGATGAAACAAGAAAGGTGATCGGTTGCTTTGGATTACTACATAGTGCTTTTCTTGGTTGCTTTTTGTACTGTGTTAATAAACAAGCCCCACAGTGTTACTATGCAATGACTGTAAATAGACATGAGTGGAATACTGAAGGATAGGTGGGCAAGACTTAAAAAAAAAAAAAGTGATTTATTTATTTTGTAGTGTGGGTTCATATAAGGGTATCACGTTTCCTGAGAAAGGGGAACAGGGTGACAGTGAAAAAGCACATAGAAAGAATACAGTGGTGAGAACTATTATGTGTGCCCAGTGCTTTCCTGACACTGAATGGGGTGAATTGCCCTTAATGTCCTACAAAGCCTCTTTTCATAATGTAAGTGTCCTGTACCTATCCATCCTCTCTCCCTGCCTGAATGCAAATAAATGGAAGAGATAAAGCATTTCTCTTTGTATTATTTCCTTGTGCTACTGTGTGTAATACATTTGATTTATACATGCATTAAGTTGAGATTTATATGCTGTGAGGCTGTCATCAAGCTCCCAGATGCTGTGATTAGCTGGCGGTTTTTACATCCAACCAACGGGAAATAAGAGAGGGAAAAATACATTGTGTAGAAAGAAAGAGAAAAAAATCCACATCGTAGCTACTTCACATTTTTTTCAGGCTAAAACCACTATTAAAGTATCTTATGTATAGAATTGCAAGCATTTCACTCAGCAAAGCGGAGGTTAACTTGGCGGTGAAACAGGGCATGCAATCTCTGGGATTTTCAAAGGGGTGTATAAGGGGACAAGGGGGTAGACAAAGCCAAAAGACCTTATATCCTATTGTAAGATAAGCTGTGCTGCTTTCTATTAAAGAAGAAGTTATGGCTTGAAGGGGAGGGGGTGTCTTGACTGTTGGCTTGAATCCACTCGCTGTTGCCTACCCCCAGACCCCCAAACCCCCCTATTCCTCTCCGCCCCCCGCGTTCTTATCCTGAGCTGAACCCCTGTTTGGCTCTCTTCCCAAAAAAGAAAACCTCGAGCCCTTCGGAAAGCCCTGAGACTGAACGCCCCAGTCTGATGGCCCCCCTCTCTGCGAGACGGGGGGCTTCCTGCTCCGAGGCAGCTGGGAGCTCTGTGCTTTGTCTCTGGTGCTGAAGGAGGGGGAGAGGGGTTGAAAGGTTAGGGGAGCAACACTCTGCAGGCCCTCGAAGTAGGGTTAATGAAGAACGCTCTGCATGCCCTGATGGAAAGAGCTAACAGTGCAATGTTCTGCAGGTATTTGGTGACTAGAGCAGTGCTCTGCTTGTCCTTTGTTGGAAACTGATTCATGAAATATGAAATATGCTTCTGCCGGCATATGGTAAGGAAATGATTAATAACACAATACTCTGCAAGGGTTATTTTATAGAAACATATTTTGTAAATCTTGATAAAACTCTACTTATTGGAGTAATGATATATTTTAGAGTTTGTATAAAAGAATAATAAAATGCAGCTGTGTAGAAACAGTGTATAGTGAACCAGCATGTGGCAGATCTTTAAAATATTTAATATTTCAGAGATATGCTGGAGATGCAAGGCTGTCTGTCAGACTACAGCAAGTACTTTGCAAACAATCCCAATGCTATACAATCAGACTCATAGATATTTAGACTCATCTTGCAAGATCATACAGTTCTGACTATATAGTTGACAGCTCTGATGTCACTTTTGTGATCTTTCTCCAAAATCTATCAACCAGGGTTGTTTACTGATGTCTAAATTTGAAGCCCAATTGAACTTTCAATTTAAATAAGTTAAATGCATTTCAGCTGCATCAAAACAAAAGGGGTCAATAATTATATTTTATTTTACCTTTAAAGCAGTTATAGCCTTGATCTGTATGTATAAGCAGTGGTTTTTCTGCAGAGTTCTGCCACTACCCCCCACTGAGTCAGTTCTAGAGATCTGCAATCAGCAAAGTTTACTGTATGCTCCCTGCTGATTGGAAATCTCTGGCTCGGACACAGTAGTGGGCATGCCGGACCTTTACAGAGAGATTACTGCTTCCCCACAGAGAGCAAGGGTCATACTCTGCAGGGGACAGGATTATTTCCTTAGGCTGTAGCTGTTTTATAAAGAAATAACTGTATGACTTTGAATATCTTTATTTTGATGCTCCTTTGGTGCATTTAAAGCAGGGGTGTCCAACCTTTTGACTTTCCTGGGTCACATTGAAAGAAGAGGAATTGTGGAAGAGGAGTAAGGATAGCTTATGAGCAAAAAAGTCAGGCAGACCACAAGGTAGTGATAATTGGTATATATATTAAAACTTCATTTTTAAAGAGGGAAACATAAAACTAGTGCGATATGTGACACTCTTTTTGACAAATGAACACATCAGTATCTGGTTTGATGGATGTAGTAGCAATTCTTAATGAATTCTTTAGGTACTCATCAGATATTTTGGTTCGAATTTTCCCCTTGTTTGCTTCATCCTTGAAAATAGTTGCTCAGAAATGTAGGTGCTGTCGAAAACTTATGACATGGATAAGGTATGATTATGAAGAGTGGATATTTTTTTTCGGAAGATAACATTTATAAAAGTGCAGTGAGGCGATACTGTCAAATATTTCTTCGGCCACTTATGTTTACTAAGTGTAAATGCATTTTTACAAAAAAAAATATAATAAAAAACGGAATTTTTAAGTAAGTTTACAATTTTATGTTGGGCTGAATTCATAGCCGTCTCAGGCAGCAGGTGGCCCGTGGCCCGTGGGTTGGACACCCCTGATTTAAATTCAGAGTTCAAATGTGCTTAAAAATGTTAATCCAGTCAAAAACGTTTTTTTTTTTTTAGCTTTGAAAGTGAGAGAAAATTTGTAACATTGAGAAGCAGAAAGAGGGTTCTAGCCTTCCCCTACTTACATCTGCTTTGCAGTTGGAGTATTTTCTTGACTTACTGTCTTGGGAAACAGTTGTACCCAGGACAGTAAGTGAGGGGAAATCTTTTTCACTGGACCAGAGATGGCAGTAAAAACCTGACAGGGTTCCTAAAACTACACCTCTCTATCAACGCTTAAAGAAACATTTTGGCTGGACATACGTTTTAAATTGTTGATTTAAGTGAAAACCAGGCACATATCCTCCAGTGTTAATGGGAACCTTAAAATGAACCTGCCAGTTATTTACTGTAATACACAATTAACAATTTATACTCATAAATTGCATCCTCCCCTGGCTAGGTTATTATGTCACCAGAAAAACGGCACTACCAATATAGGGATAGTGTCAGTAAAGGTGAAACTGGAGGACAGAGGAGCAAGCTGGAAATGTTTATTACACATAAGTATCTGTGTGTAGTGCTACCACTTTAACAGCCGCTTTGTATTTTGGGTCCCCTGTTTGCTCTGAGCCTATTTTAGAGCACAACCCCTGCTGACACCACTGTATACCCTTGACCAGGAGAACCCCCTAGCTGTGAAACACAAAATAATCACACAGTTTAAAGTGAACCAATGTTTTGATTGTATTGAAGTTAGAGTAAAAGTATTGCAAGCACAAAAGAAACAATGTTAGGTGTGTACAAAAGATAATCACTCTGGAAACTTAGTCAAAAGGAACATATACAGTATCACCTGAAATAGACCCAATTGTCCTGCAGGATCTGCAGGAGTTTAAAACACTAATTCCAGCACTGAGATGTTTCTTTCCCAAAGTGAGCTGAAATAGAGAAGAACGGGAAGTCAGGCTAAGTCACTTATGGGATCTCAATGTCTAGAAACAGGTTTAACTCTCAAAATGGATTTACATGTAATAACACCCTTTTTAGTATCAGCCCCAAGCATAGGAACAGATTCTTCTGCGCGCTTAATAGGGCCCTTGTCAGTAAACATTAGAATTGGAATTCTTTTGGATGGAAACAGGTTCTCCTAAAAAGGGTACTGTAGTAGGAAAAGCTCCCCCTAGACTGACGGTTAGAAACTGGGGAAGGTCCCTTTAACACAGAAGATGAAGGCAAGAATTGTTAAAGTTGAGAAAGGGGTGGGAGTAGACTTCACTGGAATTGAATGGGGAACTGGCCTGATGAAACAAGTTTAACAGCTGGAAGAGGTTTAAGATGAGATACTAACAGTATTCCTGGTTGCAAGGATACACGTGCAGCAGCAAAAGTCCTGTGCTCAGAGCAATGGGGGAGACACTAAAACAGTAGGCCACAGTATTGAATGGGCTAGGACAGGGGTCTGCAACCTTTAAGACATAAAGAGCCACTTGGACCCGTTTGGCATTTAAAACAAATCCGTGCATATATTGCAAAAAATGCTCTGGTCATGAAGGGGGTTTAAGGGCCCAGTAAGCAAAGGGTTAAATCAGGGCCACAGTGTATCGTCATAATCACAATCATAAGGTCAGTGGTGGGCAACCTTTTTTTTCGACTGAGCCAAATCTCGCCAAAACCACGATTGAAATTTAGAAACATTTTTAAAACTGAAAAATACATCCCCCCATATAGTAATTCATCCCCCATATGGTAATTCATTCCCCCATAGTAATGTAATTCAACCCCCATATTGTAATTCATCCCTCATATAGTAAATTCATAACCATAGTATCCCTCATATTAGTAATTCATCCCCATAGTAATTCTCATCCCCCCCCCCCCCA